CACACACACACACACACACACACACACATTTTGAACTTAAAACATACTAGAAACAAAACTGAATATATTTTTAAATTGTATACAATCTCTCACATATTATTAGAAAAATATAAACTATTTAAAATAGCATTCAATAGCACACGAAATTTAGAATATTTCTGTATGTAAAACTGAGTTTAAGATATTAAAAAGATACTTTGTGTGTATGTGTGTGTGTAAAAACTAATTATTGCCTCTCCTCGTACTTTTGAATAATTTGAAGAAGATCTATGATACATTGTGTTCTATGTTTCAAAAGAACGTATTTTAATCCTTCTTCTAAGGCGGACATGTAACCATCTTTCTCCAATTTTTGATCTAATTGAGATGATACTGCTTTCACTGCCATAGATATTTCCTTACTTGCTTTCTCCAACTCGTGATCAAGTTTATTGTCTTTCATCTTCTTACGTTTTGCAAATTCATCCATTTCTGGCATTACTTTTTTGGTAGACTTAAATACAGATGAATCTTTCAACTGTGTAGGATTAAAACTTGTATTTGGTTCTAAAGATTGCACACTGCTAGTATAACTGCAGCTAGAAAGTGTACTAGCAGGTCTATTTGGGATTTCACAATCTGTAATTGTTATGTTGCTCTCTTGGTCTTCCAAATCTAATGATAATGTGTTCTCTGAAAATATATAATTTATTATAAATATATTACAAATAATACACATATTAAGATTATATAAACCCAATATTAGAAATAGTATTATTTTCATTAATATTTACCTTTTATTGATTGAAAAGATCCACTGTAACTATGATCTGGTAACAAAGTTATCACATTGGAAGATTGCTTAGATGTAAACGGTGAGGAAGTTATCACATTGGAAGATTGCTTAGATGTAAACGGTGAGGAAGTTATCACATTGGAAGATTGCTTAGATGTAAACGGTGAGGAAGTTATCACATTCGAAGATTGCTTAGATGTAAACGGTGAGGAAGTTATCACATTCGAAGATTGCTTAGATGTAAACGGTGAGGAAGTATCTGCTGTACTTGTTTGGGGTAATGAACTTTGTGATTGTTGAACAAATGATGTCTTTGTTCTATAAATAAAATTAGAAAATTAGAAAAATGTAGAAAATAAGTAATAACAAATAAATAAAAGTATAAAAGCTAGATACTAACTTTCTATGAGCTATATGAGGAACTAGAAACAACATATTTCTATATAACTCCCATTCCTTCCTCGGTTCATATCCAGAACCAGACGGTGGTAACATTTGTCGCCTATTCTCTCTGCTAAACATGTCCCTTAAAGATGACCACCGTCTTTCGATTTCTTCGACTAAAAAAAATTATGTATTATATGTTTTGTTTTTATATGTTATGTAATAATTTAAAAAAACAAACAATTACCTGTGACATATTTAGTGTATAACAATTTCTCAAATTTTCAGAAATTTTTTGCCACAGATCTTTTTTCTTCCTAATATTTTTAAAATTCACATCGCGTTTGTCATATAAACAACGATTTTCACGAACAAATTCAATAATAATTTCATCAGGATTTAATGATTCCATGATAAAATATCTAAATCTTATTTAACAGTATTAGCAGTAAATATTTGAATAGCCATAGATGAATCCGTCAAAAAAGGTTATGTTTCATCCAGTCGTTGTCGTAAACGGAAAAAGATGGAAGTTGATCATCTTCCATTCCGACACCGATTGCCGATTCGCGACAACTTCATTCGACAGCCGACACTCCAGCGCGCATGCGCACGACACCCGACTCCGTCATCCAACTTATTGTAGAACGGGTCAACCTGTTACACAATACGTCGTAGTCACTGTCGGTATACGCTAATCGTACACCATATGTCGTAGAACGGAAACTTGATCCGACATCTATTCTACATTTAATCGTAATATAAGGGTCGATATTAAGGTTATGGATAAGGCTGTGGGTATTTATTACAATTTGTTAACAATTTGGGAATATTTTTTAAAAATAACTATATTGTTTAAAAAAAGACGAAAAATGAGGAGGAGGAGATGGTGGGTGAAGCCACATATCTCTTTACATATGAGAGATAATTATGGTGGCCATGCAAAATTATTCAGATATTTTAAACTAAGTGATCATGAAGAATTCTTTAAATTTACAAGAATGTCAGTGGAACAATTTAACATTTTACATGATCTCTTAAAACCAAAGAAAGTTGCAAAAGAAAAGTCGCAGAGAGCCTTTATCAACAAATACTCGTGTTGCTGCGACATTAAGGTTTGTACAGAGAATCATAATTTATTGTAAACTATTTTTATATTGGAATGTGTATATATATATATAATGTATATGACCTCTACTGATTTAAAGATATATTTTTCAGTTTCTTAGCCCATGGAGATAGCATTATGAGTACAGCATATTTATTTCGTATAGGAAGATCAACATTATATAGTATTATACCTGAAGTATGCAAAGCCATATGGGAAGTTTTACAACCATTATATCTGCAATGTCCACGTAACGAAGAAGAATGGTTAAAAATAGCTGACGAATTTTATAATATCTGGAACTTTCCTAACTGCATAGGAGCAGTTGATGGTAAACACTGTCGCATTCAAGCTCCAGCACATTCTGGTAGTATGTTCCATAATTATAAAGGTTACTTCAGCTTTATATTAATGGGCCTTGCAGATGCATGATACTGTTTTATCTGGGTGGATATTGGAAATTATGGTATGTTTAACATGTCATATTATATATATAAGTGAAATTCGTTTAAAATTCTTGTAATATGTTTCTACTGTAGGTTCTCTTAATGATGCTGGTATTTGGTCCAGCACAGACATGTGTCAATGCTTTAGAAAACAATACAATTTCAATACCACAAGCACGTCCTATACCCAATACAAACATTATACTACCATTTTGTATGGTTGGTGACGAGGGTTTCCCTCTTAAAACTTATTTAATGCGTCCGTATGCAAAACGAAACTTGTTAGGCAATGAGCAAAAAGTGTTTAATTATAGATTATCAAGGGCACGCCGAATTGTAGAAAATGCTTTCGGTATTCTTACCTCAAGATGGAGAATTTTACGAACGCCCTTAAGTTTAAAAGTAGACACTGCAGAAACGATAATACAAGCTGTGACTTGTTTGCATAATTTTATTATAACTACAGCATCGAATAACAATTTATATATACAGCCTGGTATCGCAGATAGAGAAAAACTTAATGGAGACATAATACCTGGAAATTGGCGAGATTTAGCAACAAACAATGAATGTATGATTAATTTGGGACGAGTTGGTGCAAATATTGGTGCAGTTACCGCTATGAGGCAACGTGACATTTTAGCTCGTTATTTTATGTCTGAAGAAGGAAGCATACCATTTCAATGGCAACATATTTAATATGGAAATCATTCTTTATGAAAAACTATGCTTTAAGATATTTCTGTCAGATTTGTTAGAAAAACTAATCATTGTCATGAGAAAAACTGACTGTGTTTCCTTTAAATTGAATAGTATTGAATATTTTAGTTTAATTTTATATAATTAAAAGATTTAATAATATACTTTCACTTCAATGGAAGAATCGATAATAAAAATATTTTGTTCAATCTACATAAAATCATTTTTGTTAAGGAAAAAAATGTCAGATTATCTTGAAAGAGTATCGCAATGGCTGCATTCAGCAGACTCAACAGTGGGTGCTTTCCATTTGATGACACAAGTCGACACAAGCGTCGTTCTATCCTTGTTGACATTCAGAGAGTGACGAAGATAGAACGACACTTGTGTCGACTTGTGTCATCAATTGAAAAGCACCCAGTATTGCAACCGTTTTATGATTCTCTGTGCTGATTGGATCATATTTTTAGATCTAGAAGAATGGTCCTATCTCAGCAGAGAATCATAAAACGGTTGCAAAACTATTGAGTCTGCTGAACACAGCCAATGTAACTGTACTGACGTATTCATTTATTATATATTCTTCCATGAAGATGGAACATGTTTTAAAAAAAGTTAATTTTCTTATTCTCCTTAACAACTTTATTATTGTACCTATCTACAGCGTATAATTGAGTTCAAAATGAATAGTATGTTTTAAATATGTCATAAAACTAAAAATATGTCATAACTTTTTGGTTTTCTAAAATTCACATTTTGATCTTTACTTACTTCTATTATAAAATTTATCAATTTTGTTTTGGAAATGCTAATAGATAAATAAACATATAAACATTTTTTACTGTTGTTTTAAAGTTCATTGACTATTTTATTATTTTTTCAAGAATGAAGCTTATATTTTGTAACTGTTTTGATATCTAAACCTCTTCCATGCCTAATGTAACTAATTCTAAAAATAATTCTAAAAACTAAATAATAAAAGTTAGAAAATCATATAAATGTATATTTTTTATCATTTCAATACTTATTAATTGCAGTGGATGTAATACAGTGAAAATTGAATGTAAGAAATATACGTTTTACATATTTGTTAATTACATTATAATATATCGAACTTAATTACATATGTATGATGGAATATTCATATTGAAATACAAAGGGAAAAGATCTTTATATTAATAATTAACTTTATAAAATAATTATGTATGTATAATAATTTTGTACTAATGCTTATTGCACAGTGAGCAGATTGCAACAATTTTTTAGATAAGTTTTGTAAAACAATCTTTCATCTCATTTGAGAATGACTAAAAAAAAGAAATAAATTTGTCTATTGTGAATAAAGAAATGCGTTGCAAACGCATTGTAAAACAAGTATTGCAATCTTTAATTTACCTAATGTAGTTACGACTAATAATACTGTATAACAAGAGAATTAAAGTTTTGTACTAATGTTATATAACAGTACACATTAAAATAGTAATATTTCGCTAAACTTTCAAAACAAAAATACTTTGTTAAAGACCAAACACAAATTAAATTGTAAACTAGTGCAGTCAGTTCAGCTATAAAGAACAAGTTTTAAATACAAAAATAAAATTGACTACATTTCTTAATAAACTTACTTATTTTAAAATAGAAAAACGTTCCACAAATTTTTTTTTATAAAGCTGTTAAAACATTATTGTCTTTTTTCATATTTCTGAATTACTTGGAGTACTTCAATAAGACTTTGAGTCTTATGTGTATCAGGAACATATTTTAATGCTTCTTGTATTGCCAACATATAACCATTTTCATTCTTGTTTTGGTTGCATATGAAAGATGAAACATTATTCATAGTAGCAGATATCGTAGAACTTGCTTGTATTAATTCCTTTTCAAGTAAATCATCTTTCGTTTTACGATGTTTCGCAAAGTTATCCAATTCAAGTATATTTTTTGCAATATTTTGTAGCGCAGTTTTACACTTTGTATCTTAGAACTTATACTTCGAGATGGTGAAAGTGGCAAGCTATCAATGCTATTATTGTTTAATGTGTTACAAGGTATCTCTAATATGTTACTATCAATTATAGGTGCTTTATTTTCATCTGCCATATATTTGCCTGCAATATATATATATATTTTTATATGGAATATAATAAAACTAAAAAGCTAACATTTAAAAAAATAACGCAAACCTAGAGAATCGTCACTGTAATTTTCATTACAATCTACTGTTTCATTACTGATTGATATAACGTCATGTTTACATGATGATAAAGAAGGTTTTTTTCAATTTCTGATTGTGTTGAACAGCTCGATTGACCAATTACCAAAGAGAGTGATGTTTTGGTTCTAAAAAAGAAGGTTATTAAATAAGAAATTAAATGTCATAAGAGATACTACTAACCGTCTGTGCTCTATATAAGGATTTAAAAAAAGCATTGTTTTATAAAGTTCCCATTCCTTCGTGTGTTTATATCTTGAGCTTGATGGTGGCAATTGTTGTTTTCTCTTTTCGCGGCTGAACATATCTCTCAAAGATGTCCAACGTTTCTCTATTGCTTCAGCTGTCAACAAATTTATATCTCATTGGATTATTTATAATTTATTATGTGATGTTTAAAGAATGCTTATCTGCCATGTCAACGCCGTAAAAATTTTTTAAGAATTCTGATATTTTATGCCATAATTCTTTCTTTTTAAGGTTATTTTTAAAATTTATATCTTTTTTATCGTACAAGCATTTATTGTCACGTACGAAATTAATGATTACTTCGTCTAATGTTACTGACTCCATGATATTGTCAGAAAAATATAGAGGTTAAATTTCTTACTTAGTAGGACGGCGTCGTAAAACGGAAAAGATGAAAGTTGACCATTTTTCGTTACGACATCGACAACCGACTGCAGACAGCACTTTGCTACACCCGACAACTCAATGCGCATGCGTCAGCATCCGACATTCGACAGCGACATACGACGTATTGTGTAACAGGCTTTATTGGAATAGTTATTAGCATAACGATTCGCGGCCACATTACTAGTACCGGCACAATTCTCACGATTTCGGTAAGATTCGGGGTGGCGCGTGTATCTCGTGTGCGGATAGTTTAGATTTCTCCTGTCGCCGAAGTTTTCTCGTATTCCTTCTGATCGGTATCTAGGAGGGGGTTCGTCGCGCCGCGGAGTTGAATGAGCCAAGGGGCGGTGTACCGGGTTCACGGGGGGTGGTCGTTGGGGCGTATCCCCGTGCGTGTTTCGAGAATCGTACCTCCGCTTATCAAGTTCTTCTCTTTTTGCGAGGGATTTGGCTGCAGAAAACGCTTCGAACGGATTTTCGCGATGTTCCGCCGTCATTTGTAATCGATATTGCAGAGGAAGGCCCTCACAAAACCTGACCTTGCGGTGAGCGTATCTATTTCAGTTATTACTCGATGGTGTAGGGTTCCTCTCATGCGCCGCTCGGCGTCGAGGATTGCAGTACGCAAGTCTTTTACCCGATTAATATAATCTAACATGTGTTCATTTCTTCGAATGTATGACGTGCTCAACTCGCCGCTGTTAGGGCTATGGCAGAGAACGAGACGTAACGAGACGTAAGTTCCGTAGTCGTAACGTAAGGTAAGGCAGAGAAAAACGTAGCTGTCGTAGTCGTGACTGGTCTGGAATGGTCGGTAAAGTGTGTCAGAGCGACGAGGTGAGTAATATTAATGCACGTTTATACGTCTTAATAGTTAATAAGGAAATATATACACACTAAAACAAAATAAAAATAGATTTATTTTTAAAGATATAATGATATTTGTTTCCACCTCCTGAAATAATCATAATAGTACGTAATTATTATTTTAGAGGTTAACCAATATTTTTCGAAGTATGTATGTACATTGTTAATTACTAACAAAAAATGTCCTTAACACATTTTTAATCTATTTTTATTTTGTTTTAGTGTGTATATATTTCCTTATTAACTATTAAGACGTATAAACGTGCATTAATATTACTCACCTCGTCGCTCTGACACACTTTACCGACCATTCCAGACCAGTCACGACTACGACAGCTACGTTTTTCTCTGCCTTACCTTACGTTACGACTACGGAACTTACGTCTCGTTACGTCTCGTTCTCTGCCATAGCCCTTA